TTGGGGGTTTAGGGTTTAGGACTTAGGGTTTAGGCTTTAGGCTTTAGGGTTATCCTACACCCCTACACTCTAAATCGCAGCTCACTGGGTCCTTTGGACTCTTGGGTACGACGGAGCCTCCTCGCTCCCAGGGGAAGGGTGGGAACCTACTGAGCTTCTTCAGTGCGGGACCGAGCTGGGGTAGCGTTTGGGCGCTCCTTGGGGATTGCGAAATTTAGAGTTTAGGATTTGGAGCTTAGGATGATTTGGGTTGCGGGATTCAGAGTTTAAGATTTGGGGATAGGGCTTAGGGGTGTGTTTTTGTCCGTCTTCTTAGTTCAGGGGCATGGTTGTCCTGTAGGGTATATAAGGTATATATATATATATACCGTGTACCAGCATGATCTTGTGTTTTGGTTGAACATGTCACAAGGGGTTCTGAGGATTGTGTATACAGGCGTTTATATTGGTGAACATGATCACGAAGGTTCGTAGTGCTTCTAGCCAGAATGCCCTGCAGAGAATCCCCAGTCAAAGTTGGGGAAATCATTAGTTAGGGTTTAGCTGTTCGGCTTCAGAAGTTTAGGGTTTGAGGCTTTTGTGCTTGGGGCTTCTGGGATTCTGAGGAGCAGGTGGCTCAACGGAAGAGTTGGTTCCAGCTGGTTGTTCGCGTTCTTTATCATCGACCAGGTGGTGACCCCGATACATGGAGGCAGGTTCTGAAGCTTGGAGCTGCAGCCGCTCAGAAGAAAGGCTGCTTGCTGTGCAACATCTTTGTTGCTGATGTAACTGACTGCACGCAGCCAGTTCCGGCGTGGATCGAGTTGCCCTGCAAGCGGTGCAGTGCTTTGGTCGAGCGCACGCAACTGGGCATGGCTCACGACCTTGAGTCAGCTCTCGACGACTCACGAGTCGGGCTCTGCGATTTGGCAGCTCCAAAACGCACAGGAGGCACTGCTCCATGAAATGGATGTCTTCGAACCGTTCACTCCCCTAAACGGTAAAACTTAGAGCCCTAAAGCCCTAAAGTTGTAGCATTCTAGAACCTTTATACAACACCTGTAGAACCCTAAAGCCCTAAACCCTAGACCCTAAACCCCATGCGAGTCTCCAAGCATCTCTGTCTTCTTTTTTAGGGTTTAGGTCGGCTCCAGGTCTTTAGGTCTGTTTAGGTCTTTTAGGGTGTTAGGGTGTTAGGGTTTAGGGTGTTAGGGTGTTAGGGTGTTAGGGTGTTAGGGTTTAGGGTTTAGGGTTTAGGGTTGAGGGTTTAGGGTTTAGGGCTTTAGGGCTTTAGGGCCTTTAGGGCCTTTAGGGCCTTAGGGCTTTAGGGCCTTAGGGCCTTAGGGCCTTAGGGCTTTAGGGCTGAGGGCTTTAGGGCTTTAGGGCCTTAGGGCCTTAGGGCTTTAGGGTTAGGGCTTTAGGGCTTTAGGGTTCAGGGTATGGACAGCTGAACGTGGCCAACTTCAACGTTGCCGGTTCGAATATTCTCATTGCATTAGTATCCTTGTTTAGTCCTTTAAATAGAAGTACATCATACTATACTGTTCGGACGATTAAGGTCGCTATCACATCCGCCCTGTGGTATTGCAGGTGGGCCAACAACTGCAGATTCAAGACAGCCATCCCAAAGACCAATTAGGCTTGAGGGGTCTGTTAGGGACTGTTTCGGGTTTAGATTTAGGGTCCCTAAACCCGAAGCCCTAAACCCTATAATGGTCCCTTAATGATAACCCACAGAGCAGGCAAGCATCAAGCGGTTTAGGGTTTAGGGTTTAGGAACCCTAATTAAACCCAACACCCTAAAGCCCTAGGCCCCACACGCAAGGGCCATAAAAGGCCAAGGCTTGAAACCGTGAAGCCCTAAGCCCGGTCGTGCTTGAATACTTATTGAGTACCCACGCTATTCCTTAGGGTTCCGGCTATATTCCTATGATGACTCCCCAAAGCCCTACACCTTGAACCCGGAACCCTAAACCCTAGACTCTAAGCCCTAAACCCTAAGCCCTAAACCCTAAGCCCTAAACCTGAATCCTACCCTAAACCCTGAACCCTAAAACCAAACCCTGAACCCTAAACCCCAAAACCCTGAACCCTGAACCCTAAACCCCAAGCCCTAAACCCTAAAACCCTGAACCTTAAACCCTGAACCCTACACCCTGAACCCTAAACCCGGATGATAAAGCCGTCGGCTGGACAGCTCATTGGAGCCCCGGCTCCCGGGACAACTTGCGCAAAGACCCCGACAGGGTTGCCAAGCTTGTGACGATCTGCAAGATCCGCATGCTGCTGCGTTGTGCATGGGCTTCCAAGCTTCACAAGCTTAACCCTATGCACATGGTCCGCTACGGCCTCATCGATCCCACGTGCACTTTCATAAAGTCCGAGGGCCACAGTGAGAGGAAGGCAGACCAAGAGACGTGGCGGTTGATCTGGAACACTTCAGAACCAGACAGACTGCTGGCGTGTATCCTTCACACAGAGTCTGACCACGGTGATGTGCTCATTTATCAAGACGCGGAGAAAGGCAGAGCGTTCCCTCTGGCGGTCGGAACCGGCCACGACGATGAATCGCTGAAACGCACGTATCGTGACATCGAGTATCTCCTGGAGAAGTCTCCAGAGAACAAGGTGTACTTCAGCGACGCCTCAGGCTGGGACTTGAGCGTCTCCGCTGCCCTAAACTCTGAACCCTAAACCCTGAACCCTAAGCGCTGAACCCTAAACCCTGAACCCTACACCCTGAACCCTACACCCTAAACTCTGAATCCTACACCCTGAACCGTAAACCCTAAACCCTGAACCCTAAACCCTAAACTCCTTCTGATCCGAACGCTTGCGAAAAATAGGTCCGGAAGATCAGAGTCATATCGAGTCCACGCTTCGGAAAAGTGAAGGCCCGGTCTTGGGTGTTGGGTCTTTTGGGTGTAGGGTTGAGGGTTTAGGGTTTAGGGTCTTGGGTTTTGGGTCTTTGGGTGTAGGGTTGGGGGTTTTGGGGCTTGTGGGTTTAGGGTTTTGGGGGTTTTGGTGGCTTTTGGGTTTAGGGCAGTTTAGGGTTTTTTGTTTTGGGGGTTTGGCAGGCTTTTGGGTTTAGGGTTTGGCCTTCGTTTATATGGGCTTGGGGGAGCTTTTGGGGCTTTTTGAGCTTTAGGGTTTAGCTAGCGTTTTTTTTAATTTTTGTTTTTTTGAGGTTTGGGGTTTCGGGCTTTGGGGTTTCGGTTTTCGAGGTTGTGGGGTTTAGGGTTTAGGGTTTTAGGGTTTCTGGTTTTGGGGTTCGGAAGTTTAGGCATTGAATAGTAATCATTTAGAGACCCCGATATGAAAGCTTAGGGTTCCTTTAACGAGATTACCGGGAGTTCCTGTGAGGGTGTTATGGTTCGATTGGGGTGCTAGGTTTCTACACGGGTGTATAGGGGTTTAGGACATAGGCTTTTTTGCTTGTAGAGTAGAGGTTTTATTTTGGGGTCGCCGTTTTGAAGGGTCCAGCAGAGTAGGGCGGATCTGTTGAGTCATTGAGGATCCTTATGCTGGCTGTTCCATCGGAGTTATTTTCGTTTTTGTTATCATATAAACCCAGGGGGCCATCAACCAGAGATTTGTTTTAATGGGTGTAAGGCGCCTTTTGATGCAGCAACAGGAATCCTGCTTTTCCATTCTCTCCGTCCAACGCGGATCTTCTATCGAGTGCAAAACAAGAACCATGCCCTATCAAGGCACCTATCTTCAGGGCTGAGGGGTTACCTGTAACCCCACAGCATAGCTTTTTGTGTTCGGTTTCAGGTGTTTAGGGTTTCGGGGTTCGGGATTCAGCATCTCGAGCTCTGCAGTGCCAGTGCCACGGATTGGAGTGGATCGGTCCAGCACCAAAGTCAAGCCCGGGCAGACTTCGGGCCACCACCGGTGCGATGACCATTTTTCAAGATGCCCTGGGCAGACATGAGCCTTGACAGCATCAACCCGACACCAGGCGCTTCTGAGCCCTGAACCCGCCGTGAGACTTAAGATTCACTTGGCACCATCGGAGCCTCAAATTTGTTTAGGGTCTGCTGAATACAAGGGCCTACCTTCGAATCCTGCAACCACAGTGGGTTATGGTAGGCTACGAACAGGGTCATGGGTAGACCCCAACCCGGAACGAACCGATTCACAAGTCCTGGACCCCAAACGCTTACGATAAGCACTAAGCCCTCAAATGCCTTAACGCAGCCTCCAATCCTCATTCCGAAGCACCAACCCCATAAGGGCTTCCCGTCAGAGTAAAGCTCCCTCAACCCCATACTCTAACAGAAAACCTTCGTAAAGCAGTGCAAGGCCCATATGAAGCCGTTTGAACGCTCGAATAGAATACGCGTAGCTGAATGAAGCTCGTACAAGGATCACGACAGACACAACACGACAACACCATGGCACAATCCAAACTCAAAGTATGATTAGGCACCAAACAGCCAAAACCAAACGCAACACTTCAATCCCTAAACCCTGTACCAAAACCCCTAAACCCTACATGCCTAAACCCTAAACCCTACTTCCAAACCCCTAAACCCTAAATGCTTAAACCCTAAACCCAACCCCTAAACCCAAAGCGTCTGAACCCCTAAACCCGAAAACACAGCCAGGACTCAGTAGCAGCGCCTTGGCCCTGAACGCGCGAATGCTGGACTCCTTCGGAAGCCCTTTCGACGTGGAGCCTCCCGGCATGGTGACTTGTAGGGTGCCTTGTAGGGTTTAGGATTTAGGGTTCCTTGTAGGATTACACAGGGTTTTCGTGGGTTTTGATAGGATCTGACAAGGTTACGCAAGGGTTTACAAGGTGTTGTTAGGCTTTGGCGTTTTACAGGGGTTTCTGTTAAGGTTAGAAGTATGGGTCCCGAAAAATGGACCCTTAGGCCTTTCTAGGGACCCTTAAGGGTACATATAGGGTATATAGTAGGTGTATAAGGATCTCAGGGTTACAGGCCCACACTAGGGGCCCATGGTTTCATCCTTGGGGTTTCGCAGTGCCCTACAACTTTAAACCTGCACCCAAGTCCAAACCCACGAGTAACGGCTGAAGCCGTAAACTCGAGCCTTCAATCCCTCAGCGAGGACCACCCAAAGCTTTAAGACATCAGAAATTTCAATCATTGGTGCACTGGGTGAGCTCCGAAATCCCAAGCACAGGCTTTATTCCAAAAGTCCTAGCCCTG